TGGTGGGGGAAGGGGAGGGGAAAGTGGGTTTAAATCGAGAGAGGATCTTCAAAGAGCAAAAACGCAGGGTGGTTTCAATTTTATATATAGGATGCAAAAGGAATGACGAAAAGTCCTGGAGTGACGTACGATAAGGAGACGTGGTGGGGGTGGCGGTCCCCCTCTCCCGTGAATTAATTACGTTCAGTAACGTTCATCAATTAATCCACGTGTTTACCGAACGCGTTGAACGCTTATGCATATAGATAAACAAAAGTCATGTTAATGAGGCAATAATCACGTGGCTCAACAGAACTAATAACAATTTGTATTAATATCACATGTAAACTTGCGCGTCCAATTGCATTCGCGGATTCGCGGTTCGATAATCAACACGTAACAATTGGTACTATAGATGGATGCTGATTCTCATAGTTTGGTATGCACAGTGTCAACAGGGATGACGCATTCGACGTTTCTCGTTAGGATCTCATTGACGTTTTCTTGATCAACGTGTCGGGACGGCAGCTCGGGCCACGTTCGTAATTTGGGAAACGGTACTCGTGTAATTCAGGTATTACCAGAGATTCCTCGGGAGTCACCGAGAATCTTTCGTCGGGACGGTAAAGTTTTTCCGGATTACGAAAGATCAAGGACGACTCTTCTTATTCTACTTGGTAATTTTCTTATTTAATCATTTCGTTTTTATTATATTATCAAGCCGTAACTTTATTTTGCCTCTACTTTTGAAAATGGCAAATTTTTGCCTTGGATTATTGAGTTAGCTTTTTTTTTTGAATATTGAATTATTAAACTTTTTTTCTTTATTTATTATACATGTCTTCTCAGTATTTTTTAAAGAGTAATTTTTTGCATGCTTACTGGGTCGCTAAGAAAAACAAATAATTCTTATCACTTGTGCAAACGTACTTAGTCAGAGCGTACAGCTAGTTTCAAATCTAAATGCAACACCTGTACGGTCAAATCGTCGTGTCACTCCGCGTTTGATTATACGATGATAACACGTAAAGTCATTATTGCGCGAGAATTGTAAGGCATAAGTAAACTGCCCTGTTGTCAAATGATTATTACGTAAGTACCACGTGTTCTGAAGAATTTGTGTTATTCCAAAGTAATCTTATACTTTTGTTTTGTTACTCTAATTATGTTCATAAACGTTTATTGCCTTATCGCGTCAGTATTAATACTGATTGCATAAACGGACCTTTAATACAAACGCATACCAGTCTTACGATTGAGGATTCGAGTGATTTTTTATCATTGCGGAGAGTTTTGGAAAATCCAAAAATTTTCACCTACTCCATATCCATATCGATTCGCTACCTTTATTTTAATGTTTTTTTTCCTCTCAACTTCTGTCTCACCCGATAGAACACAGCGTGCACGAATAATCGCATAAATTCTGATGAATCGAACGAGCTCCCGTGCGATTATCCAACTAATTATGTTCCCGACTGTTCGACATAGCTCGCTTGGACATTACCATGCTAATATGCAAAAGCTTCTTCGATCCGCCTACATACCGGGTGTCCCAAATGAAAATCAGACATTGTCAACTTACCACCGACGACGATGAAGTCGTATTCGCTAGCAGGTGGATTTACGTTATGGACGCGTTCGCAGAGCCCCGAGATGTCTTGTTTGGCTCGTATGAACGTATCCACGATGGTCATGAATGCCAGAAATTGTGAGGCTCCACATGCTTCGGCCAAACTCGGCCTCAGAAAGGGTTCCCCGCACTGGATCTCAACGAAATTTCCGCTGGACATTATCTGAGGAAATAAGAAGAAAAAAAAAAAAATAAATCATAAATATTTTTTAAGACAGCTTTTGTTTCTTTATAAAAATGACACATTCAGCAGACACCGAGCTGTTGTCCATTGGTAACGTGGATGACGTATGTAATCAACAATACTATTTATCCAACGTGTTAAGAATTTTCATTCAGTCCGTAACACAGGTGTTTCTCTCGCAATATACGAGTGCGATTATTTTCATGAAAACGTAAAAACTTATTTAAAATTCGTATTACAGGTAGACAGGATATCATTGGGGGGCACCGATAAGGATATCCAATGTCTTTTCCTTTATTTTATTCCTCATTTATGTTTGCACGAGAAACGCCGCTTGGCTCCGTCTTTATGTTGATTGGTTTCCTTAGTCCGTTTCCTTTTTACGTAGCTCAGCCCATATCCGGTGGCTGCCGATCGAAGTCAGGGCCGGCTCAACCACCATGTGAGGTCGAACGTAAAACTGGCCGGTTTTCTTGCGCGCGAAACTGTTACTTTTACATTGGTCCCGCGAGCGGTAACCCGAGGGTAACTGAATGCTCCATAGGGCTGGACCGATAAGAACGGAGACTGTCAGAAATTGTAGGAAAACTTTGTGAGACCATTATTAGCGATCATTGAACCTCGTTCGGTATTTGCTTTCTTTAGAATAATGCCAATAATAAGAAAAGCAATCAGCTTCTTAATTGACTTTCGATAATTTTAGACGCAATGACTGTAACGGTGCGGTCGTTATAGGTGGAATTATTGAAAAAGCTAATTCCATCCTCGTACACGCGCACGCGTACAGAGAAAGACTATTAGTTCTTTTTTTTTTTCATTTTTCATATATCCATATTTTGTCGTTTTATTTACACAAGAATATTCGTTACCAGGCAATTTGTAATTAATAATCAATCTGGCGCGTTTCTACGTTGCGATAATAAAAGCTGCATTTAGCAGGGCGAAATCAGTTGGCAATGCGATTTTGTAGGTACCTATAGGGATGAATATACATGAAATGATAAATAGACTGACAGAGATGGATCTATGTTATTTTAACGGACGAGGGAGAGAGGGAGAGAGAGAGAGAGAGAGAGAGAGAGAGAGAGAGAGAGAGAGAGAGAGAGAGAGAGAGAGAGAGAGAGAGAGAGAGAGAGAGAGAGAGAGAGAGAGAGAGAGAGAGAGAGAGAGAGAGAGAGAGAGAGAGAGAGCGACGAATGAATGGAGAGAGTGGAAAAAATGAGCAAATGAGGGAAAGAGTCTAATAGCCCGTGACGTGCATTCGTATAATATACAAATATATTTTCCAAGCGGAATTTCATTTCGGTGACAAATTTAATTACGACCGTTCCAATCAGCCGATCGACGTTTTGATACTGGCTGATATTCGAATTCCATGGATTCAATGGGAGCAAAAAGGTTCGTGCTGAGCCGAATTAAGGGCTCGCGTCAAACGAGACCCGGATTATCGTTTAATACCTATGCGTGTCCGGTAAAATCAATAGGATTGTCATTGCGCAACAGAGACGAATGGTAGGGAAAAAATGAAGGCGAATAAAAACATACGATGGGCACTGTTCACAAATATTCATGCATACAAATTTGAATATCGTTACTTTAAAGGCAGCGGGATTTTGTCATGTAATCGCTTCGATACTTTTTTATATAAATTAATATTAGCTTTAACGCACAATTATTTTTTTATCCTTGACATTACACTTTATTATGAATTTTATTCAGAAACTTTTAACGGTGTTATCGAATCTCCTTTTTTCCTTGAAATTCTAAGTCCAAAAATATATAGCCCGCCTATGAAATATAAATCGTATATGGATTATATGTTAATTTGAATTATTAAAAATTTCGAAAAAAAAAAAAAAATCTTTAGCAACGAAATACAAAATCTATACTCTCAAATGATTTATTATGACGAACAATTCGTTTATGATTTTTATACTATTCGTACGTGGCCGATGTATTTTATATATGGACCATATATGTATTTTCTTGTACTTGGGGTAGCACGGTATTTATATATAGTATTAAATAATAAATCGACTTACTCTTGGTTCGACGAACTACCGTTCGGCACTGCAAGTCCTCTCACCGAGGTACGTCATTTTATATTTCATCTCCCACTGTCGGTACTTCATTTACGTACTGAGTAAATAGCTGCCTTATCGTTACAGAGTTTGATATTTCACGTGTACAGGCGTTCCTTCAGAATTTTAAAAAAAGAAAATTGTCTTTCAATAATTCGGCTTTCAATTGCTCTAAGTATTATTTCGGATTAATTTTGTTTTCTTCCTCTATCGCACATGTTTACAATTACGTAATATGTTTCTGGCAAGCGACTGGAAATTTTACTAATGATCGAATTATGGGACGAGCTCGCTCTGTTGCACGGATATCGGACTTAAAGATAACACTGAAGTTCATGAAAATCTCCAGCTGCATCGGGCTCATCGGAAACTTAACAACACGTAATGTATTTTTACAGTAGGAAAGTTCAAGGAGAAAAATGAAGTGTGACCGAATGGATAGTTATATCGAATTTTATGTATAAGAAATAATATATCTATGTATTATTTTTCAAATAAGAAACCGGGTCTGAAATTGCATCGAACCCAAATTACAGGGTTTCGTATGCCAAGGAAAGCCTGTACTGATACACGTCATAGGTAAATAGATATCGACTGGGAATTGGAAAACAATTTATACCGGAATTCTATTATCAATTGAATTTGGTGTTGTTATCAATGCGCAGTTCACCAGATTCAGCGGTGAAGTGGGCAGGAAATTAAAAAAATTATTGTAGAGCATAAATCCGTTAATTATATTAATATCCACAGAGCATCGGTAGGCACGTGTCTGTATAGAGCCAGATATTCTGACGTCATAGTAATTTTGGGGTTAGGAAATTGTTAATAAAATTATTTTTTATTCGAGAGCTCTATAACGTGTCATTGAGGACTTCCGAGTTCCGTTTTTATAGTTTCCATTATTCTCTCGTTTTTTTTGTTTTTTTTCATTGGCACGTTATACCAGCTCCGGCAGTTCTCTAATAAGCGGACGCCTGTCTGGCTGCAGCGTCGCGACGCTTAGGCCAACCGGTAGCTACTCTAATGGTTTCATATCTTGGTTTTCTCCGACTTTAAAATATTGTGAATATTATGAATTTCTGTAATACATTTTTTAGGACTAACAAATTATGCGAATTTTCAAAATAGCTAATTGGCTAATAAATACTTATTACGAACAGTCCCGCGGGCATCCTAATTCAATATTAATTTATGTCGATGCATAAATACCAATATGGAAGAAAAGTCAAACAGAGATATCATAATTAATGATAATGTACAGAGATAACGTATCAACTGGTACGGTCGTCAAGCAAAAAGATTAGATTCGACTATCTGTTTAAAAATTATATAATTATCGTACAAAATTTCGTAATCGCAATTTTCGTAGTTGAAGACGCAGTGAGTGAAGTTTGACGAAAAAAAAAAATTTTAACTTGGACCGTCGATTAGTGTTGGTGACTAGGTCGGTGAATAGGCATGTTTTGTAATAGAGAGGGAAGGGGAGAGAGAGAGAGAGAGAGAGAGAGAGAGAGAGAGAGAGAGCGAGGGGTTCGCTTGTCCGCAAAGATTTCGGTACTTGGTTTATTGTCTCTGACATTCGCGCAGCCCTTAAAGTACTTATCGCAGTACCTGACCCTTCACTCTGGGAGTTTCAACCGTTGCATCTAATAAGACCAGGTACCCACAACTGTACCGGATGAAAATTAAAAATGACAAGAAGTCCTTGTCAATGGAAAGTTGAGGACCCCAATGGTCCTCAAATTCTTTCTTTTGTCTTCCCTTGGTTTCCTTCCTTTGTTCCTCGCGAAAAAAGGACCGAACTTTGGCCGACCGCAATACCGGAAGTACATGAAAGAAGGAGAGAAAAAAAAATTCCACGGGTTTTTTCAATCTTGTATTTCTTTTTCTTTTTCCCTTCCTTCCGCTTCATCGTGATAAACGGAGAAAACCCGCAATTGTTTATCGTGCATGAATAACAATGGGATGACTGTTGGTCTTTAATTTGCATAGACACGATAAGCATCGTCAATGTCATTGTCAAGATGGATTTAGCCGATGACGTAAACTCTCGATCTCCTGGATCCGTCGAAAGTATCCCCGTTGGAATTTTCCCGCTGACGTCATAGTCCAATCGGTCATATTAACACTTTGCCGGCCGCACATTTCTCGAGTCGCCGTTGCGCTGCCGCCGGCGAGATTCACGCAAGTTCTGCTGCTCTCCAACGGTGGTATTTATGCAATCGTTCGTAACATAAGTAGTTGCAATGTAATTATTATTAGAGAAGGCATTAAGGTAACTGTTAAAACATTTTTATTGTATAAACTTATATTTTTAAATTATTACTTAAACATTTTACTTAAAAAATTTAACCCTTAGGATCCATATTCTCTTTTTGTGTGATAAATTTTAAAGCATTTTCCTACATGCAGAGGAATGTTACACGAAGAACACATATGTATATGCGGTTGAACTTCTTTTCTTTGCAGAAGTGCAGACTTTACAAGCTGCACTTCACTTTACTTTTATTCGAAGGCAGCGAAAGACAGTGTCAAACTAATCGAACAAGCACCCGCTTCGATGTGGCCGGCAAAGTATTTAAAGAATTCAATAAAACACAATCTGGTAAATTGGGAGGGGAAAAGAATTGAAACCACAGTTCCCTGTTTGTCAAACATTGCTCTGCAACAATGTATCTCCCTACACAAACATGGAAATTAAGCATCAGCGCTGGAGAAAGAAAAGTCACGCGTACGTGATAGCGGCCGATAACGATTGGCAAAAAAAAGTCACGTATACGTGACAGCGGCCGGCAAAGTGTTAAATCGTTAAAATATCTATTTACCGATAGGTGCACGTGTACCGAGCCTAGTGCAGACATTGAGTTTGATTAGCCATAGTCTGTTCATTGGGGGAAAAAAAAAAAAAAATAATTTATCTCGTCTCGGATCTTTAAACGTTCCGCGGATTACTACTAAGATGTTATAACAAGAAACAACTCGGAGGCTGATCAATCCGGTTTTTCTCTATCGACTCGATTATTTTCCCGATCGTGACTGATATCTGGATTGAATAAAAGATCCCGAGTCTCGTATTCGCTACCATTCGAAGAATCATTGGATCTGTCGTGCGGCGTAGCCAACCGGGTAAAACTAAATGAGGCGAGCGATATGTATGGAAGTGAGTGAACTATGATATATAGGAGATTTCCAAAGTGAAACTCTCGAGTAAATGGTCAGACCGAAGCCGGGGCACTCGGTATTCTACGGAGCGTGCGGCTCGGCTGGTCATAAAGTGCTCAAAGGGTTAAAAGGGCCGATATTGAAAAATCGTAAGGGGTCGCACCGCACCCCCATAGGGGTAATGCTTACTCTTCGGGGTTTGACATACGAACCGTGGAAATATCAGCAGGAGAATATACCGTGGAGAATTCTTGAAGGGAGTTACCAACCAAACAGTCGCAATACCAACGTACCTTGTTCGTTGATAAGAATTTTTTAGGCTCTTTTCGAATTTTGTCATTTTTTTCACATTTAACCCCGAAATCGAGCCAAACGGAATTGAGCGAAAGGAGTAAAATATTATTTTAGAAACTTGACTGACACTTCTCTGCCCGAAGTCAAATTGAAAGGGCTGCGTCTCCTAGTGATTCTTTGTGAATTCACGTAGGAGCAGAAATCGCTCGGATGAGGTTGCGGGGGGTTGCTATTGACGTTATTGATATTTTTTAAGGGTTCCGGAAGAGAGTTTGATATACGTAGTTTGGCAAGTGGATCGGTATGGGGTTGATATTTGTATGGTGGTTGCCAAGGGGTGTCCATATCATAGCTCTTTTCGAGAACATCCCGAGGCTCCTAAGGGTGGCTTTTCACCGAGGGTTACGTGGCGTTCTGTATATATCTCCACTCTGTCCCTTTGTAAACGGCGCTTACGTTTAGCAAGTCCTAGAGAGAGAGAGAGAGAGAGAGAGAGAGAGAGAGAGAGAGAGAGAGAGAGACTCCCTATATCTCTACCGACATTACGCGGTTGAGCCAGCGCTCTCTTTACAGGGTTACAAATGGCTTTTTTACTGGACACCCCGTTACTACCCTCGTAACTGAGCTTAATAACTGGTCGCGGTTTTACGCTTCTCCTTTTACTGGCGCAGCAAGAATCATAGCGAAGCGACGTGGATTACGCAACTCCTCGCTGATAGGCTGCAGGACTACATTTTTCTTGGTCGTATCTTTTCACGGAGTTTGAAAGATTTTCAACCAACAAATAAACTCACTCTGCGACAGACTCGAAATCTGCATTAAACTTCAAAACGATTACGTGCTCACTGCTCTTCGCCACTCTGTACAGAATTTTGAGACGGAATCTTCTGCTCGTAGCACCCTGTACCATTTAACAGTCAAAACTTACCCCCCTGACGATCTGAAAGTGTAGAACAGAATCCGACTGTTATCCTTCGATTCGAGAGTCCCAGGGTGTTTCGAGTGTTAAGCTCTGCTCTTATCTATCTTCGCGTGTACGTAGAATCGAGGTATTCGGGTGTACCGAGAGTCTCGAACCACTTTGGAATTCGAAAGATCAGAAACCGAAGGGGCGAAAACGAGACGGAGGGAGGATTTCGAAGTCTCTGAGTTCTTTAAGCCGAGTTTAAATAAGCAAACTATCGTGTAGTTTGCAAGGGTAGCTACCGAGCTACCGTAGCTACCCTTGCGGGAGTTCCTCCCTTTTCTTCATCAACTCCATTTCGAGTCTAACGAGTCCTGTGCATCTCTCCCGACACTTCGCAACTAGCTAACCACCAC